TTAAAGATAACGGAAGCACTCAAAATGAAACTAGGGAACATTAAGTATGAAAATGGAACTCCTCAAGGGAGTGTGTGTAGCCCTCTTCTATTCAATATAATGATAAATGATATATTCAATGATTTACAGCAAGATATGGGTAGATCGTTATATGCGGATGATGGGGCGCTTTGGAAAAGAGGCCGAAATGTATCATATACAGTTAAGAAAGTTCAGGCTGCAATAAATAAAGTTGAAGAGTGGGCACTGAAATGGGGTTTTCGAATATCAGAATATCAACACAAATCATTTGTTTTACAAAAAAGAGAAATATTAATATGAATTTATCATTATATGGACAGCTTCTGGAACAGGTGTCAGTGGTAAAATTTCTTGGAGTGTGGTTGGACTCAAGATTGACTTTTAATACACATGTAGGCATTTTTATTTCATTTATTTGGGTTCCAGCACATGTTGGAGTTGAAGGAAATGAGAAGGCAGATAAGCATGCTAAGAATTCTTTGAACTTGAATCAGATAGGAATTGACATAAAAATTAGTAAGGCAGAAGCAAAAATAATAATTAGGAAAGCTCTTATAAATGCATGGCAGAAACTTTGGGAGAAAGAGAAGACTGGACGACATCTATATAGAATTCAAAGGGAAGTAGGAATACGTAACAACGACATGGGATTAAGAAGACGAGAAGAATCAGTAATAATAAGAATTAAAATAGGACATACTGCATTGAATGGAAATTTAAATAGAATTAAGAAACATCCGAATGGATTATGCATGCATTGTGGGATTTGTGAAACTGTAGAGCATGTACTGTTGCATTGTAGAGCATATAACAACGAACGACAAATGCTAGAAAAGAAAGTAATAGAAGAAGGTGGAAGCATGATGCTAGAAGATATATTAAGTAAGCTAAAAAGGAATAAGAATATTAGATTTGCTTTGTTGAAATATCTTAAAGGTACAGGAAATTATATAAGAATATAATGATGTTTATTTTTGTTTATTTATGACTATTAGTATTATTATTTAGTATGATATACATACATATATGATACATATACATGCATCGATGCTCTACACTCCAGTTCAGATGGTGGCGGTAATGCACTAATAAGCTAGTCTGTCAACCGCCAATAAACAGAAGAAGAAGGAACTGAACTCTGCAGGTAGGTAGTTGTCCAGGACAGGATTGGGCACCCCTGCTGAAGGGTGTCCCATTTATCATTTCAGGTTCCAGAAGAGTGCTCACATGTGCCCTTTTGCTGAGCCTCACGGCATTCATCACTATAGTGTGGTCTTGGTTGGAGGAGGACTGAAACACAACCTCCTTTGGCTGTATTCATATACTATTGAGTAGTATGCAATTTTTTGTATGCCAACTACTGAAGATCTACAGCATGCATTTCCTAAAATGTGCAGTATACAAAGCAACAAAGCACAGAATACTGTACTCCACTTGACCTTGCTTTTCCAATGTGAGGAATGAATGAAGAAAGAAAATATGACATCTCGAGGCAATTGACATGAAACTTAGGCTGCGTCCAAAATCGCATACTCTCTTAGTAGGTACTTCTTTTGATTAAGTGATTACTTTGTATAATTTATATTGTGTGAAATTGTATTGTCAATGTTTTTTTTTTCTTTTTTTATACCCCTGTGAAGCACTTTGAGTTGTAGTTCATGTATGAAAAGGCTATACAAATAGATGTTTATTATTATTATTACTTTGTGATCATTAAAAAGTATGTTCTATAAAGTATGAATGTGTGTAGTAGTGCGTACTACATTCCTCATGTTGTCATTGTCATGTGACCTACCAAGGTCAGTTATGGTGCTCCACTACCATTTCCAACTCCTATCCCGTGGCCTCATGGGGAAGTAAGGTGTCCATCAGATGTGCACTTCAGAATCTTGCTGGAAATAGTAGGTCATCTGGTACTTTTTGCCTACATTTTCAAATTCAGACATACTAGTCTGTTCACATACTGTTTTTTTGCCTACTATATATAGTATGCAATTCCGTATGCAGCCATAGTGGCGTTACAAGACAACAATATAGTTGTTATAGTGTACACTGTGCAGTATTGAGTAAGTAGCACCCCTTTATGAAACACAAGCAGAAGGAATTTGAATAAATGAAAAATGACTTTTCAAATCTGATTTTCTTTAAATTTTATTTCTAAATGCAAATGATAAAAAAAAACCCAGTATGCATTAAATAAATCAGTATTACTAAATGGTTTAGATCCCTAATGTACAACCCACAATCCTTTGAGACATCAGCTATAAAAAAAAGGAAAAAGCCTGAAGTGGGAGGTTAAACGCAATACAGCCCACTTCAATGTTCAGTGTGTGCTTTAGTTGAACACAGAATGTTCGAACAGAATAAAGCCGGGCAGATACACGCATACACAAAGAAGAGATGCGACCTGGAGACGGACATGCGCTCATTTCACACAAACATTCATTCTTACACATACAAACATACATACAATTTGTCCAATGCACAAAACAGTTGCTGAAGGCAGGACGCTTATTAAAAGAACCTTTTTTTGTTCGGGACTAAAGAGTGGGGTGGGGTGGGGGGGGAGAATAACATCAAATATCCTAGGTATAGAGTCAGTTCAGAAATCTAATTTGTTTGCTTGATGTGACCAGAAAACTCTTAATCCCAAACTTTGTGATGACAGGAAATTATGTCATCTTGTTCCTGAAGTCTTTCCATTGGTCTCTTGTGGTTTGTCTGACATGATGTCCCAGTATCAGTCCGGTACACCGACTGTACTAGGACATGAATGCTAGGCTCGTCCCATCCTCCCTCCCTCCCTCCCTGCTCTGAAGTCTCCTGGGCTGTTAACGGACCTCCTCTCTTCTACAGGTTTTTATAAAAGCAGACAGCCAGACTTTTTGCCCCGTTTCCTCGCTTGCAGCGCAGCCCTGGTGGCCATCTCAAACACCTCTCTCACGCCATCTTTTGTCTTGGCTGAGCATTCTAAATAACCAAAGGCGTTGATTCGGTTGGCCATGTCTCGTGCCTCCTCTGGCTTCACAGGCTCCTAAATGAAGAAATATTTCAAAGATATTACAAGCGTGTCTAAGTGACTACCCAATATCAAATCAACACATTTATATTAAAAGCTATACTTCACCTAAAGTAAAAACATTTTCATTTCATTCATTCACATTGATTCCTTCCAGTATATATATATTTTTATCTTCCGTTAAAAAGACAAAATAAATGTTAGGCAGAATATCCAAGCTTAAAATGAAAATGGATGAGATTTATATTGTAAAGCACCAAAAAACACCTGAAAAATATCATATAATTAGTCCATACAACTTGTGTTATAAACCAGATAGTTTAAAGGCTGAGCAACTGATCATACATTAAATTCACAAATCTACTGGAGTTTGGCAGTATAAATTACCATCCACTTGTGTTGTACAGAAAAGAGCAGCTTGGGCATTTTGCAGTGTTTAAAGGAATAGTTCACCCAAAATGAAAATTTGCTGAAAATTTACTCACTCTCAAGCCATCCAAGATGTAGATGAGTTTGTTTCTTCATGGGAACAGATTTGGAGAAATATAGTGTTACATCACTTGCTCAGCAATGGATGCTCTGCAGTGAATGGGTGCCATCAGAATGAGAGTCCAAACAGCTGATAAAAACATCACAATAATCCTCAAGTAATCCACACCACTCCAGTCCATCAGTTAATGTCTTGTAAAACGAAAAGTGATGTTTTTAACTTCAAACTGTTTCTTCCGGCTAAAATATTTCTCCATTGAAAGCAATATTATGCATAGACTTGTGGATTATTGTGATGTTTTTATCAGCTGTTTGAACTCTCATTCTGACGGCACCCATTCACTGCAGAGGATCCACTGGTGAACAAGTGATGCAATGCTACCTCTGGCAAAGAGTATAGAAGCCCAAGAGGCGAAACTCTGTAGTGATAAGGGCAACAGTCTATAGATGGCGCTGCAGAGGCGCTGCCGCCATTTTGGACTGAAAACTAATGAAAGTCGATAGAAGATGCGAGAGAGCAAGTGGGCGAAATGCAAGCATTCTACTCCTTTCTTATGTCTTACAATCTCTTTTAGATTTTCTTTCTCTCTCACACGAACACACAATTGCTGCTGATAGTTTTGCTCTTTTACTACCAATTCCCCTTTATTCCTCTATTAAGATTTACAGTTAATGTTAAATGTGTGCACTTGACACATTACAGAAATATTATCTGTCTTATAATCTCTTCTCTATAACACAATTGCTGCTGATGGTTTTGATCTCTATTGCTTATTCGATTTTGATCTATTACTATTTTCAGATAAATGTGTGCACTTGATACATGACAGAAATTACAGAAACCTCACAATAGTTGGTGGAGTCCTTGATACAATGTTTGCAAGTTGTTCATATTTTGTGATATTTTAACTGTTTTTTATAAATGTGCGCGACTGGCTCCTATTATTTTACGGCGTGTTTGTGTAGTTTTCAGTCCAAAATGGCGGCGGCACAGTCACGTCATGGGCGCAACTGTTGCTATGGAGCATTCTATTGAGTTTCGCCTCTTGGGCTTCTATACTCTTTGCCTCTGGTGTCCAAGAAACAAATTCATCTATATCTTGGATGGCTTGAGAGTGAGTAAATTTTTTGGCAAATTTTCATTTTTGGGTGAACTATTCCTTTAAGAATCATACATTTTACAAAGTAAAAAGGCCCTGCCTGTTTCATTTTGGCAAGTTCCCTTCGTGTGTGCTCATCGAAAAATAAATAAATAATGGGTGCTGCTCTTAAAAACAGAGGTTCATGAATGAAAGCTTGCAGGGGCAGGTTTAAGCAGACTAAATTATAGTTATTTCACCGGAAAATTGAGTTACGATATTTTGATTAAAAATTAGGAGGTCAAACATTAAAAAAAAAAGAAATGTGCATGAATCATTCACAAAATGGTCAATCCATTCAGAAAATACATAAGGTTCATTTTCATCTCATGCCGACTTGAATCTTTTTTCAACATTAAGATCTAAAGAGTGATGATTGGGCTGGTAACATCTAATTGTTTACGAGGACGTCTTACCCAAGCTATCGGGACTGTCGATGGAAAAGCACATAAGAATGACATCTGTGTCGGGGTAGGAGAGAGGTCTTAACCGATCATAGTCCTCCTGTCCAGCCGTATCCCATAAGGCAAGCTCCACCTGTAAGCAGAGAGATATCGGTACATGTGCTAAACTAAACACCATTCCTCTCTTACACAACAATTGTGGTACAATTACACAGTAAGGATTTTGGGCGCCAATAATTGTGAGTCACAAGTGTGTGTCTCATCTGTCTGTTTTGACTATCCACCTTATTTTTCCCATAAGATCCATTTGTAAATTGAATATGTCTGGCTTCCGGTGTCATCCACTTCCAGATATTTTTATCTGTATGAAACAGCTGTTTTTGCTGCTTGATATTGCAAACTTGTGTTTCATTGCTAAGACCTTCAGTTGGACAACTTTAAAGATGATTTTCTCAATATTTAGATTTTTTTGCACCCTCAGATTCCAGATTTTCAAATAGTTGTATCTCGGCCAAATATTGTCCTATCCTAACAAAACCATACATCAATGGAAAGCTTATTTATTCAGCTTTCGTGTGATGTATACATCTCAATTTCGAAAAATTGACTCTTATGACTGGTTTTGTGATCCAGGGTCACATATTATTTTAATGTATTATCTTAATTATAAACACACTGGGTTGTAGCACAAACAAAATTGCCATTTTTCCACTTTGTTATTCTTCTCGTTATTTCCTTACTGTGGCTAATGAAGCGGACGTCTCACACACCTAGAAAACAGCTAACTTCCACGCTGAAAAACAAGGTGGATACTAAACATGTCTCTATCTGTACAACTTTGGTGCATGTATAGCTTACACCAATGTAACCACATCTATGCAATGCGGCAGGACTGAATATGGAATAGTCTTGCTGGTGATGTATTTTGGTATGCACGTTTCTAATAGTAAATGCCATCCGAGATTTCAACTTTAGCAGCAGAAATAGCATTAGAGATGGTAAATTCAATTAACTCATGTCAATAAGTACAAAATGTACATTAAATGAAACAGCTGATTCAAAGATTTGTTTATCGTCACTCACTATCAGTTCCACTGTTCACATACTAAAATATTTTTAAGACACGTGTACATTTAAGTAAATATTGCCGTTTATTACAACGCATCCATTGCTTTCTTGGTGCATATCAATGAAAATAATTAGCCTACATAACATTCTTCCAGATGTTCACAAACTGTGTGGAAAACATGCTTTCATACCTGTTTTCCATCGACCTCGATGTCTGCAACATAGTTCTCAAAAACTGTGGGCACGTAGACTTCAGGAAACTGATCTTTACTGAAAACAATAAGCAAACAGGTCTTTCCACAGGCTCCATCACCCACTATGACGAGTTTCTTACGAATGGCAGCCATCTGCAGAGGACAGAGATGAGACAAACTATAAGCAAAAAGAGATTTACAGATTAGAAGCATTTGTGAAAAGAATCTTTTAAAGTGGAGAAATTTAATGTTTACATGATAGACAGACAGATAGATAAGATAGATAGATGTGGAAGTCAGATGTGCTCTGTGATTCATTTCTATAGTCAACTTGAACCGGAAACACAGCTGCGGAAGTATCATTTGACCGGAAGTTACACTGCACTGCATTGCATTGAAAAAAGAAACATGCTTTCATACCTGTTTTCCATCGACCTCGATGTCTGCAACATAGTTCTCAAAAACTGTGGGCACGTAGACTTCAGGAAACTGATCTTTACTGAAAACAATAAGCAAACAGGTCTTTCCACAGGCTCCATCACCCACTATGACGAGTTACGTACGAATGGCAGCCATCTGCAGAGGACAGAGATGAGACAAACTATAAGCAAAAAGAGATTTACAGATTAGAAGCATTTGTGAAAAGAATCTTTTAAAGTGGAGAAATTTAATGTTTACATGATAGATAGACAGACAGACAGACAGACAGACAGATAGATAGACAGATAGATTAGATTAGATAGATAGATAGATGTGGAAGTCAGATGTGCTCTGTGATTCATTTCTATAGTCAACTTGAACCGGAAACACAGCTGCGGAAGTATCATTTGACCGGAAGTTACACTGCACTGCATTGCATTAAAAAAAGAAAGAAAAAACAAACCTTTAAACAATATTGGTCTAACGACCAAAGGCCATAACTACAAAACAGCGCATTAACGATTATCTACATGTATTAATGCGTGTAAAGCTTGAAATATTGATGATAATAAAGCGTCCTGTCGCGGGGCCTGTGTTACCGCACCCCACCATCAAAACATTCACACAAATAAGACAATAATAATATACCGCAAAACATTAACAACCATCCAAATGCTTATGCTAACATGGAAAATAACATTTAAAAAACAAACAAACAAACAGGTCGCCTTTTAAATTTAAATGTGAGGTGGAAGGGCTGTTAGCCGCTAGCCGACATTTAGCAGAAAGAAACTGATTTACATAAACTGTAAATAAAAATGAGGTCGAGACCTCATTACATAATGGTACAAAAGCGTTCAGAAACAAAGTGTACAACATTATTTCATGAACATTTATCTCACTATAGTCCTTTAGAAAAACAGTTGAACATAAAGGAAATGCAAAAATCATTGAAAAAAAACCCTCACTGTTTCCTCACCAAACGCGATCTTTCATTCGCGTTAACTTTATGTATTTACACAAAACATAAAAAAAAAAAACATTTACCGTTTTCTTTCTGTTGTGCTCCGGGGAAGTATCAGCTTTCCTGTCTTTTCCTGGCTGGTTTTAGAGTCCGCCCATCTTCAGTAGGCTACTGCCACGAAACAACACCCGCCCTACAGTACACCCGACTGTCTCTCACTTGCCTTCATTTACTGACAAGTTGTGTCTTGGGGGCTGGTTTTTATCAGCAGCTTTTATCTTATTTCTTTTTGTTAAATAAAGTCACTTTTATTTATTTTGTGTCGCTATTACCTTTGACCTAGACTTTCTCAGAAAACGAAATTCCATCCTAAAACATTTGAAAACATCTGAAGAAAGAGTGAAACAGATAAATCATATGAACACTTTAATATTGTGTACAAACGATTTATGTAAATATGTGTTCAGCTTTGAAATTAGCCCATGGGAAGACAAAGGAGCCAGTTTATTTATTCCACAAATGCTTATAATGTCATTTCCACCACAGAATAGACTAAATGGTGATTTCAGATGTGAAGCCTAGTAGAAATATTCAAGTCGGTTCTGAAAAAAATTACAGACTTTAAAAAAAATTCTAAATAGTCTTCTGTAAAATAAGCACCAGACCTGTTGAGAAACACAATTTAGCTTCTTCATATAGGCCTACACACATGGTTAAATGACAAAAAAAACTTAAACTCAGTCCACAGGGCTAAAATGCTCAAAGTTGAAGAAGCAACTAATTATGAAGAATCTTTTTATATTATTTCAATAATCTCACTAGTTTAACAACGCTGCGAAAAAGGCATCTTAAACAAGCCTAAGTACTAGACAGACATGCATGTAATGTTAACCAAATTACAGCAGTCATGTGTTTTACACATTCCTCACAATCAGGTTAAAGCAGCAGTTATCTTGTTGTGTTAAATTGTATTTTTTCCCCCTGCTGACAGGATTTGAACAGTCCATGCCATGGTTTTCTGGCTAATTTGCCAGAAGGATCCTCAGAAGGGTTGTTTTTGGAGTTATGTGAATGTGCCCTGCATTGGGTGGGTGATGGTCTGGTGATATGATTCTCATTATCAACTTGTGCACTTAAAAGACTGAGAAAATTATTGTTCTTTCGTTATAGGACCATCATGTGGAAATCAAGGAACAAGGAATAATCAGCAACAGATTCGTTTTATTTCCTTTTATTTGACAACAATAAATACATTACATAAATTAAATCTCTCACTTATAAAAATAAATTCCTTCATATGAAAACTATAAATATATCAGTGTAAGAATAACTCTATACAGTATCAGTCTGAGCACATGGTTTCACATTGGCATACGCTGATATAAATCACATGACACTTACATATTCTTTCACACCATGCACTTAAAGCAGAATTAATCATCAATCTATTCCTAAAGTCATTGTATGATCATACATTTAAAACAACCAAAGCAGCCCTTCCTTTTAATTCACAGTGTAAAAGCAAGCAGTCGGACATAGAGTGCATTCATCAGATTCATGTTTTGATGTCCTTCGTATTTCCACCACACATTCAGTGACACACTGACGTCTGGCAGCATTCAAGTTCCAGCTCTGGCTCGAGAGCTCATCTGAAGTAAAGCTGCTGTCTGGATAATAGAGGACTAACGTCTGACCATCGGCCTCTGGGTTTAAAGCGTTGCATAATTTGCAGCAGAAATTGTGATTGGATTTAGATCTAGCTTTTTAACAGACCCTTTAGTTTACATAATCAGACATTGAATCATCGTATTGTCATATCATATTTAAAGGTTATTTTGATAACAAACAGTGTTGGGGAAAGTTACTTTTAAAAGTAATGCATTACAATATTGCGTAACGTTGTAAAAAAGTAACTAATTACGGTACTTAGTTACTTTTTATTGAAAGTAATGCGTTACGTTACTTTTGCGTTACTTTTTAAATCTGGGCTGGGCTTGATTGTTTGCTTTTAATATAAAAAGTTCTATTTTTGGCAAACGTAAAAGCCCTTTCACACCAAAAGCCTCAGGCTGAAGGAAATGTAAACTCACGTCTGTACAGTATACACAGAAGAAGAAAGTTCAACACTCTTCAGCAATAAAAAAGAAGAAGAAATGTTAGCTTATCTTGTGTAATTTTTGCTTATTAGTATGGTTGAATTGGATCATCGAAGGTCAGCAGCAAATTGGTTAATAAAATGGGATTAAATACATAAAGGATATTTGTATTATTTAACATATTTAATTATTGCAGCCTTGAGTCATATTCTGAGTTGCTAAATCTGATTTTTTATTTTTTTTGTGAGTGTTTGAGATGAATTAATGCATGTTCACATTTATTCTAGAACTAAAGTAACATCTTACTCCCGATTTCTCTCAACATGGGGACAGGAGAGCTTTCAATCAATAAATGGGAAAAAAAAGTAACTGGCGTTACTTATTTGAAAAAGTAACTCAGATATTTTCTTGTAAATTAAAAAGTAATGCGTTACTTTACTAGATACTTGAAAAAGTAATCTGATTACGTAACTCGCATTACTTGTAATGCCTTACCCCCAACACTGATAACAAATAATGTTAAAATAGCTGAAATTGGTGCTAGATGATTCTAATGAATAAAACTGCAAAATAATGCTTACCATGCAACCAAGTTCAACGCATTTCTTTGATGTCAGGATTAAGAGGTCCCTCCACTAAAGGCATGTGGTCCTTTGTAGATTTCTTTATTCTGATCTGACACGCCATCAACAGGATGCCATTTTGTTTTAAATCACACACACACACAAGATTATTAGATTCACAACTTCAGGCACATACGCTATCGTTCAAAAGTTTGAGGTCAGTAAAATATCTCTTAATCTCACCAAGGATGCATTGATTATATATACATTACAGTAAAATACATTACAGTAAAATATATTAATACAGTAAAAACAGTAATGTTGTGAAATATTATTATTTATAAGAACCGTTTTCCATGTGAATATAGTTTCAAATGTGATGTAATGCTGAATTTTCAGTGTCTTCAGTGTCACATGATCCTTCAGAAATCATTCTGATATGCTGATTTGATAATCAAGAAACATTTCTGATTTCTGTTGAAAACAGTTGTGCTGATTAATATTTTTGTTAAATACGTGTTTTTTTCCCCAGGATTTTTTAATGAACAAACAAACAGCATTTATTTGAAATATAAATCTTTTGTAACAAAATAAATGTCTTTACAATTGAATATTTTTGATTAATCCTTGCTGAATAAAAGTATCGATTTCTTAAAAATAATAATAATAATCGTACTGACCCAAACTTTTGTATAGTAGTGTGAACTGATTCATATACAATTTGCAGTTTATTTAATGTTCCTGATATTAAAATGCATCCTTCAGTCTCAGTTTAATATAATGCAGAATTTGAATATTTGGATGAACCAAACAAACATTTCTGCCGACTCCTCAAAGTGAATGTGAAACCCAGGATTGTGCTTGAGCTGAAGTCATTCTCTTACCCGGCAGCAGCAGGATGCTGATGATTATGGCAGCGATGGCAGTGACGTTCAGCTTTATTGCTGGGTTTCTGAGCACAGTGCAGTCTGCAGAAACATCACAGTCACACACATGAAGCGAGAGGGTCTGGGCTGAATGCTGGCCCCGGCTGTCAGAGACCTTAAGGGTGACTTCATGATCTCCTGCAGGTACAGCGCTCTCTTTGATCAGTCTCACAGATGTACCTGCGAGGAAAGCGGAAATTACAGAGGAAACAGGTACATTTGGTTGCTATTACAATGTAAAACAAGATGATTTTTTTCTATTACCATAGTTAGACTGAAGCCTCCATTTCCCTTGGACGTCTCCAGTCAGCTCAAAGTGTAAAGGCGGGCTGTACAGGTCTGGATTGAAAGCTGTAACGTCAGCCGTCTCCTCAGACAGACACATGGCCAGTTTGTTGGCGTCCAGCATCGGTCCAGTCTCCTTTCTCTCCATTACACCCACTTGCTTCATCATCTTCTTGAATACTGAGGGGTCACCGGCATCTTTCTG